AATCGTCACGTGCCTGGAAAGCTATGTACTCAGTTGCAGGTGCTCCCAGTGCGAGCTATATCACAGGCGGCGACAAGAACAAGATTTGGGCTGTGATGGAGAAGCAACTCACGAGAGAAAGGGTCATCCTATTGCGTTCAATGAACAAAGTTCATGTCAGTGCTTTGAACAACATGGCAGAGGACGAGATCCAGGTCCCAATTTCTCAGGACAACTTCGACAGGTACTTGAACGTTGCTATGTCGGCAAGCGATGGGCAACCGAAGAAGACCAGCACGAAACATACTGTCGGTGGGAGCTTCAGTCAAGGTACCGAATGGAGGGACATCAGATTCGTTCTGAAAGATCCGGAGCCTGAGGAGGACAGGATGGAATATTGGATGACGGGAAACCGGAAAGATGAGAGTTGCAAAACCACTGCAGATGCCGCACCATATCTTTGTGAAGATTGCAACAAACGTGATGCATCTGAGGATTGGAACGCATACAAAGACAACAGAAGCCACTGTGTGAATTGCAACTTCAACTTCTGGTGTGTTAATAGCGGCACTCCCACGATTCGACAAGAAAGAGAAAGTATTTGGGAAACTGCAGTGAGAGTTAGAGTCCTTTGGGAGAAGAATGCTGAATGGAACCGTTTGTATCCAGCGCAGAATCTCCGTGAATTCATGGTCGAGGGTGCGATGATGCTATCCAGGAAGAATCCGCCTTGGATTCAAGGAGCGTTGAAAGCTATCTCGCATCATGGTGGAATCAGAGCCCCGTCGGAACTTGTGGAACAATACTGTACCCAAGGGAAGGGATCCACTCTTTTCGTCCACCGAGACTATGATCCAGACAGTGAAGACTATGGCTTCCGAGCGTATATGGACTATGGGAATGTGGCGTACCACGACTACATCCAATATTTCTTCACGCATAAGGAGTACCAGGACGTCTTCTCGTTGAATGAATATAGGACTGTTACAAATTCTGAGCTTGCGGGCGATATCATGGAGTTTTGGACTGGTGTTCTCGAACTGGCCGGCATCTTCAAAGACACGCTGTTCGGGGATTGGGCTCAGATCAATGAATGCAGAAGAGGTATAGAAATGTCTTTTCTTCACTTCTATGCAGCGAGCCGAAAATCAATCAATGACAACACCAAGAGGAATAAACCTTCAGGGCTCCATGTTACAGCTGAAGAACGAGCCTGTATCGATGCCGTTATGTCCAGGTATGCTACCAGACCAGAGTTCAGGAGAATGGTACGACCGGCCATAGCCCCAGAACCCAAAAGAGCATCTACGGAAGAGCCTGATGTAGAGATGAAGGATGGCGAAGCCGACCCTGCGAGTACCACTCCAGGAGTCGAGGAGCCTGAACCGCCTACGCCTGAGCTTGATCCGCAAGACTACAAGGATGGGGAGGGTCGTTCAATATCTCCGACGAAAACATGGTCGCACTACCCGACATCGAATCCGGATACTGAGGATCGGAAAAGAGCTGCCAAGCGCGGTGGGCAAGGTACAGCAGTCGCCTCGAGAACAAGTCGTTCTAGCGGCACGTCATGGACTCTGGGTTGCTCAGAAGCATACCATCCTCGGGAGAGCCGACGAAGTCACAAAGTCAGCCTCGGCGACAGATGACAACGTCCAGAAGCTCGTGTCCCTTATCGATGAAGTACGATTCGATGACAATGGAGAGCTGATCGAGGATTCCATCAGTGAGGAAACTTGGGACGAAATCATCTCCAGGACATGTGAAGGATATCGCAACGTGGATGGCAATATTTTGTGTCCATCATGTATGCATTTGACTTCTTCATCTTTGTCCGTATGCCTATCTTGTCAAGGCAGGCTACTCTCGTGTGGTATTCGCAACACTGTCATTTCCGATTCACCCGTTGATCTTGTGAGCGACGATGAAGAGGAAAAGAAGGAAGAGAAGAAGCCTGAACATGATGATCAAGATATGATGGATCAGGCCACTATGGACGAGATCAGAAAGGCTTGGGAAGAAGACATCGCTCAAACTGAAGCAGCTGATGACGACGAGGGCATGGACAATCAAGATCCTTCCAAACCGTCTGATGATGCAGAGAATCCCAAGAGTGACAATGTCGAGACCCCATCTTTCAATGAGGATGAGATCGACTACGGTCGTGATTCTGATCTCGAAGATGAGGACGAACGAAACGTGATCATCGAGATCCAGAGGAGCACACAACAATATGAGGGGAAGAAACGTCAAGATGGTGAGCCCGAGGATGAAGACGTCACCGACGACTTACATCCGGAGGCAAATCGACCGACAGATCGTGATGAACCGGGATACTACACACAGCATGGAGCGACCGAGTTCAATCCCGAAGAAGGAAGAGATAACGAGGATCTCCCTATATATTGTCGAGTACCGGAACCTCGAATCTATGCGCATCAAGAGAGAGCCTACTGTCAGGACGTCTCCATGAATGCATCGGGTTTGATGGATAGGTATGTGGTCAAATGTGTGCTGAACATGATCTCCCTGATGTACAAGAGCTACTATTGCACCAGCCTTACCGACTTCAAAGCAAATTGGAAAAAGAAGCTTCTGGATGTGATAAGCAAGTTTGGTACAGGAGATTCCACTGAAATCGATGACGATGGGAGACCATTGGATCCAACAGATGACATGATGTTAAACTTTGCCAACGACAACAATATTACAACTGAGGAGGCCTGGCACCGATTCAGAGGAGAACAATTCATTTGCAAGGTAGCACTCATGATCCTATCATTCGGTCATACTCCGAAATCCTTCAAAGGGGAATATGGCAACTTCGAATACTCCACCGACTTGACCGATGCCCAACTTGAGGAGTTGAAAGCGAAGAAAGCCAGTGCAATGACTGAATTGGTACAGAAGTGCATCCATGCGATTTATGGATGTCGGACATATTCTTATTTTAGAACCGACATTACATCACCCTACCACAAGGTGATCGATCCTCTGGACATCATGTACTCGAGAATGAAGAGCAAGTGGGAGAAGTCTATTCTTTTGATCATTGATCAACATGAAATCAGGTTGCCCCCACAAGCTCAGGAAGTCATAGAGTCAATGGCCAGGAATCCCAACGTTGGACATACAGAGAGATGGATGAGCGTGATAGAACACAAGCATGTTCAAGCTCTTACCAATCGTCTAGGCTTTGGAGATAGGGCCAAGGAGATTCAGGGCAAGAAGAAGCAGGCGGCCAAGGCAACAGCTAAGCCAGCATCTACACCCAGAATCGAGGCCAAGCCGTCGTCAGCACCAAGTGAGGAACCAAAACCTTCAGCGGCACCTAAGAGTTTCGGGCCCCCATCAGCAGAGGAGAACAAGGTGAAGGCTGCTCCAAAAGCCAGACCACGTGATAAATCACCATCCAGTGCTACCGATGCGTTCGAGCAAGCTTTGCAGGAAGATCTTGCCGCCAACGCACATGCAGCAGAAGGTACAACTTCTTCATCATCCCGAGGACATTCCAAAGGAGGAGGCCAATCTGGAACATCTTGGAGGCCGGCGTTAACGCAAGAACGTCGCGAAGTACCTCAACCTTCTGAAAAGGGAAAGGGAAAGAGCAAGTCCAAGGGAAAGTCCAAGAAGGGAGAAGATGATCGGTGGGATGCTCAAGGCAACTGGGATCATCGTGGATGGAGAGGTTATCACCAGTGGTGATTTCTTTGAACGACTAGGAGGATACCATGCAAACCAGGGAGGAAGTCATTCACCGGATGTCTATCTGACCTGGAACGCTGTAAGTGTACCATTGCAAATCGACAATTTGATTTGATACCATGAGCATAATGGAAGGAAGACAATCACCGACTGTCTCTCCGACCTGCCGTTCTGTAAGTGTATCCAAACCAAAACCTACATCTTTGAGAAGTGTGAAGTCAGTTGCCGATGTGACATCTACGTGGAAGTCACCAGTTCGGGTCTACATCAAAGCGAAGCTCTTTTGAGTGGATACTGAGCGAGGCCTCATGACTGTCTCACTTATTCAATTCGATTTACTTTTATTTCATAGGTTCTGAGCCATAGTTGCACACTTTATATGTAAAAGTCCGCTTTAGTCCAGCATGTTCTGTAGTATGAGCCTCATATGAGTCTCGCGGCAAATCATACAATTTCTTTGTAGCACTTACATCCCTAAATTTTCGTGTGTGATCGGAACATATTGTTACCGTTCACATGGGGGGTGCGAATGGAAGTGCAGCGACATGTACAGTGCAACATGTACATATATATATGTACCATATGTACTTTGGCTCAAGGAACAAGCGACTAGAAAAGGTGCGATTTCCGTTCCGACGCTATGCCGCTTATGGACCGTCAGTGATAGCTTCAAACTTCGCTGATTAAGATCCACTCGCACATGACATGGGCACAGAAACAGATGTAGAACTACCAGTGCGTCAGAAACATCAGAATTGAGAGACATGATGTCATATGTTTCTTCAGCCGAAGATGTTCGCATGCTCAGCGCATGCTCTTAATGTTTTTTGTCCAAGAGCGTGAACAAACGATATGGGAGAATGAGAATGCGGCGCTTCTTTTGTGGGAAGATTTGTTTTGGAGAGTACGATGTCAAATGATTAAAAACACATATGTTTAAACATGTTACGACGCATTTGGTGTCAGAGGACGCCGCTTTTGGCTAGTTGGCAAATCATTGGTGTTCAGAGGGGTTTGATTTACTACATGTTCAAGTCATGTTCACCACCGTTCTTGCATCTCCCTTCCTAATCCAGCATGCGATGGGGTCGGCTCCGTTCTTTGCCCGTTCTGTCGGATGTTTCACGGTTTCTTTCTGCGGTGAGGTGGTGTGACATGGTGACTGTGATATAGCCGCCGAAGTCGCACGTTGCATTTGCGAAGGGGCGGCTGGACGCGTACCCTTATACTTACTGGTAGATTAAAATGCCTCGTTCTTCCGGCAACTAAGTCCTTACACGTTGTCCGCACACACCAAGTGCTAATATTTATGTCACATGCTCTTTCAGGACTTGGAGAAGAACGGTGCCGCCAATGGATGGCCGCAGAAGATTTGGAAAGTTGTTGGTGGCGGTTCTGAAGGTATTCCTGTAACCAAGGAGCGAAGGCATTCCTTTTTCGCCTTATTCCTTCGACATGTTTGCACTTCACCGAAAGGATCCTTTGGTAAATATATTGATCTATGTATATATACACTGCTATATACAATATATACACATTATAATACACTGCAGTTTGTTGGACTAGAAAATGCTCACAGTTGGAGTTTGTGACCAAATCAGGGAATGTCTTCCCTTGCGGCAAAAGGAGCGCGGCGGCAAGATTGAGAAAGAGCGTTTGTCTCATGGCGCTTTGGTAGAAGAATTGGAGCTCAAGCAAGACCTGTGACTTGTCTTCACGTGACTTGTGCCACATATACACGCACTACTGCTGAATTGAAGGACGACCTCGTAGACTTCAGAGAATGCTGCATTGCATCGAATGCTGCACATTTGTGATTGTCCCTGGTGGTCCAGTGTGTGCGACCCACCGCAAGAAGTTGGATTTTAGGGTGTTTAGATGTCAAATGAAGCACTGAGGAATATCATGCGCTACCGGCGGATGACAGGAAAAGGCCCCAAGGAGGGATGGGTCCAGCTGGTTCGTCCCAGTGGCATCAAGCCGCTGCTGGTGAAGACCGAGCTCCGGCCACCGGCGCAGAAGGCCATTTCTAAAGTGAGAAGCAAAAAAACAACCAATTCGAACAATTTAAAAAAAGCACAATAAAGTCCTTTAAACCTTGAGACATTTCTTTCTTTGCCAATTCTAATAGCGATGGCCTCCAACCTAATAGCGAGACAAGAAAGACCACTCAACTGTGGTGGATGTTTGGCTTGGAAAACACACGCAGTACTCGTAATTAATCACCGCAACAATTCAACTTCGACGGACCATGGATGGCATGTTGAATCTTGATATATTTTGATTGCTTGATGTGGCGAGTTTGCAGTGTCTCATTGATTCACTGTGAATTGTTTTCTCATCGCGCTTTTGTCGGCGTGTTCTAATTAATTTCGTCAAGCAATCCTGAAGCGTTCTTTGTAGCAAAGTGCGTCCTTTTGTTCCTTTCTCTTTTTCCGAGTTTTACGGCCTTTTGTTCTTTTCGTTTTACGGCGGAAAGTCTGAACCTGAGGCGCAGGGCCAAGACATGGGCGTCGGCTCGCTGATCGTGACGCCACTGCGCTGGGATGCGGAAGAAGCGCTGAAACTCATGGGTCGCATGGATGAGCTTGAGGCCGAGACATCGAGAGGGTCACGTTGTGCTGTTGAAAAGGCAAGGGCCGGCAAGGGTGTCGCAAAATGGCGAACAAACAGAACAGGGGCAATACGCTTCAGGCGGCGGCTGAAGCCTTGCAGATGCAGCAAGCTCTACCGCCCGAGCCGAAGAAGCCAGTGACGAGCTCAGTTGGAGGGGTGGCAGTGCACTCTTTTAGCACTCTTGATTTGTAGTTTTTGATATGATGTGAAAATGACGAAGTACACTAAGCCCTTGTCATGATATAAGATGACATAGAAGTAATTGGTCAATGTTTCTAGAAACAACAAATCCAGCCTGGTATGAAACAACTTTGTGGATTGGTCTTTGGAAGTAAATCCTTCCCTTCCTTCCTAGGAAGCGGTTTCTTTTTTTCCAACAGTTGGACACTGTAACTCAAAAGGTATATTTTGTGTGCCTTCCATAGAAACATGCTATTCTTTATAGATTCCTTTGTAGATTCTACTCCTCCTACCGAGAAGCTTCTTCTATCAAGGGATTCTCCATTTAAAAAAATAACGATCCATGTGAAGACTGCAAAAGAAAAATCGAAAAATGTGCCTCCCGCTCTGAAAAGAAATAGAATGAACTGGTCTAAAGTCTAAAGATCCACTCCATGTGATCGATCTGGAGGTTTTATGGAAAGATATTAAAGATCAGGTTGCTGAGCCTTTTACATTCATAATCCTTGCGTCAGCACAATCTCAAAGCAACACGATGCGTTTGGTCGCTCTTGTCAACGGTCTGTTAAGAATCTCTCATACGCTCTTTCGGCTTTGTCCGTTGCTTTTTCGGCGGATCTTAGGAGAAGTTCATCATGTTGCCTGGGCAGATCGTCCGACCCGAGGGCTTCCCCAAGCTGGCAGACCTTGTCGGGCCCAGAGATGTCCAAAACGAGCTCAAATGGAACGCGAAACATGATGAAATAATTGAAATATCTTTAAATTGCTTTGCCAAACGTGCCACACAGTGACATCGGCCCTCGTCTGAGGTGATTTCATCAGACTGCGTGTGCGAGCCGGCCTATGGGGAGACCTGGGAACAGCTGGTGGAGGTCATCGAGAAGATCTTGGCGCCCAACGGCCACGCCATCATCTCCTTGAGGAACGTGCAAAAAATTAGTACGAAAGCCTTGGGCTTTTGCTGGAAGGTACTTCACTATCAAACAAGGGGAGACATAGCTGATGCTAGGTGCAATTTGTATTTTCCACTAATCGAAATGGCCCAACTGTTTTTTTTCTCTTTCACTTGGCTCAAAGACTTCAAGGCGGAGGAGCTACGACGGCATTGAGAAGTTCGTGATGCGCCTGGCGCGGAATCTACGCTTCCAACGCTATCGTTACCGGAAGTCACCGGAGAACGTGGATGGCGTGGATTTGACGCTTACTTGCGGTGTTTAGGTTATGTCTGGAACTTGAAAGTGTAGACGTTGCATCGGTACAGTTTCCACGTTTTCTCAACTGACAGTAAGACAGGACAACTCGATGAAACTGGGAGATCATGTATGTCTTTGAGTGCTTTGCAATGAGGATTTGTGCAGCTTGGCCGGGCAAGAACGAGCAGTTCGAGCAGTCGGTGGACTCACCCAGAAACCCACGTGATTCCCAATACGCTGAAGGCGAATTTTGACGCCTCTGCGCGAAGCCGCTTTGCAGTGCCAAAGGCAAGCGGGGCAGGCAGTCGAGAAACTGCATTGAAGAAGATGCAGCATTGGCCCAGAAAACGTTGTTGGCTCACTGTCGCTGATCACCTACAGCCTGTGCATAGGCAAATTACGGGGTTACCACCAATGGTGATTTGCAAATTTAGGGGGTTGCCACCAATGGTGAGGATTTGCAGAACAGGTTGTCTCTGAAAAATGATGACTGGTGATTTGTTGCTTTTGAAAACCAGAATCCGAATCCTCAAAAACCTTGGATCTTCATCCATCCTCCGGTTGAATGATCATGGTGACGGAGATGCACTTTGGCACCTGCGTACAATGACCACTTGTATTGCCATCGCTGGCACAGCTTTTCCCAAGCAGCGAGGATTTCACTTGCAAAAGGCGAGAGAACAAAGTCTTTTGAAGCCCTCGTTACGTTCGTAGCGTCCTCTTGTAGTAAGGTCTTTAGCGATGGCCACAACCGAAGCTGACAAGCCGCCTCTCCCTTCGGCCATGGACTTCGGCCGGCATTCCTTCCAAACAAAGCGCAAGAGGTGCGGGTTCTCGGACGCTCGCTCTGGGAAATTCGTAAGGAACTTGTTACTACTAGCGTGGCACTTGTTTCTACTAGCTTCTTGTTGCTACTAGTAAGGCACTTGTTACTACTAGTAAGGCACTTGTTACTACTAGTAAGGCACTTGTTACTAGTAGCGTGGCACTTGTTACAGTGCGAAGGAATTCCACTCCACAACTATCTCTCCACACCCGGGCACTGCCTCCGACCTTCCAGCTTTCCCTTTGACATTAATTGACATTTAGCACTCAGTAGGGCATTCCACATGCTAAGGCATTGAGCGGTCATCATTGGTCACCAGATGTATGATTGGGAGTATCTTCTCAAGACCATCAGGCATGGTGGTGAACCGAGAATCTCTTTGAGCCTTTTTCATGTTTGCTGTCCACCCTGGATTGGGCGATAGATGGCGATAGTGAAGGAGCTGTCCTTTGCTGAGCAGTGCCCCCAAATCTTTGAGACCATCTGAGAATATCTTGCAATGCGGATGCAGGACTGCGAAGCTATGAAAGTCATCATTAATTGGTACTATTTGGTCGGTGCATCATTGCAGCTGCCTCAGGGTGCCAGTTGCCGTTTCGTCGTGGGCGTCCCATCCAAGTACAGTTTCAGGACGGTCGAGTAAAGGAAGCTGTTTGTTTCATTCCAATGTGTTTCCGAGCTATAAACAGCATTGTTTTTGCGAGGCACGGGGTGTTCTCAGGACTATGTCCGCTTGAGTGCTTTCCCAGCAGGGACAGATGCATCATTAGTCTATACAAACCGATACAAACCTCAAAATCTTCCCTCCTGAGAGGCCATCGCTAGTAGGTAGGACAGAGCGACCTTTCAAGATTGCTTCAAAATCGATGGATTGATGGTGAGGCCTGATGGGCGATCGATTCATCTCCGAGGCCGGTGGAACCGTGCTTGGATCCAGCGTCCTTGCTCCTAGTAGTGATGCCCTGCTCCTAGTAGCGTCCTTACTCCTAGTAGTAAGGCCAGGAGCCCCCAGTAGCGTGCTTGC